GTTCATTTTTTGGAAAATGAGCATAATTATTTTTTAATTTTAAATATTTAAAATATAAAATGGTAGTGGCGGCGGGTGATTGGTCGCTCCACTGTTGCAAACAGAAAATGACTTCCCCAAAAAAGAAAAGTCATTTTCCAGAAAATCCCCTCTATTTTTCATTGACTTCCATTCTCCCCTCCCCCCTTAACCAAACACTAGAAACTCGAAAAAAATCTTTTTTCTGGGTTTCCAAACGCACCCTAAGTTGCAATCAATTTTCTGTTAGCTTATTGCATGTGTAGGTGTGTGTTAGTTATTTTTAAATCATTTACTTATATATTTTTATCATTATTTTATTTATTTATTTTAATTTTAAAATTGATTGAAATACATGAAACTATGCTAATGGTATTAAAGTAAAATAATCATTATTTTATTACATAAAAGATAACCTCTCAAGCAAACAAATATATATTACATACATCAGATTTAACCAAACAGAAATCTAACCTTCCATGCAATCTTACATTCTCATAGGGGGCGCATCCTTATGAGATTCACTCTGCAAGAGAGAACTATGAACTAGTTAGAGATGTCCAGTTAGATCTTTCTAGATGGACGACTCTGATTGGTTCCTAACTTTGTCCTGTGAAGTGATTTTCTTTAGAGGGTGATGAATGCCTTAAATACATTATTTTTTCTTACACATTTTAGTATTTTTGTGTTGTTACTCATTATTTAATTGAGCTGATTTGGTCACTTATGGAATGATCGATGTGCTTGGATGATTTGACAAAGCAATGATGTTTTGAGGCATTTGATTAACATTTAATTTGGATCAAGTTTTTAGAGTCACCTTGGCATGAGAACAAAATTAGATGACCAAATTAAAGTGGCGATTTTTAGAGTTTTGGGCATTTTGGGATGGCCCATGGCCTTACCTGTGAAGAGGAGAGCACTGGAGCAACTGAATCGAATTGGAGCCATCGTTGCCAACCACAGGCGTGCCCATGCCCATGGCTAGCAGGCAGAATACACCTGCATTCTACTCGGTAGGCACATGCACAAGTGTGGTCGTACATATGCCTGTGCCTACATTCCAATGTTCACTTTTTCTTGGGCACGAGCACAGGCGTGGCCACGCCCAATCCCTGAAATTTTTACAAAACATTTTTACCTTTTTTTTTTTTTAAAGGAGATTTCTCTACCTTTTATTCCATTTTAATTTCCTACTTAGTTTTAACATTATTTTAGCTTAGATTAGTGTAGAATTCTTATTCCTCTTCAAGACTTCAATTCCAAGCTCATCCCAATAACATTGTAATTTTAAATTTCAAAGCTTCCAATTGATAAGTTTTAATTTCTTATTTAATCTATTATTTCATTACTTTTTTTTTTTGGTGAAGATTTCATTACTTTACTTTGTACTTATGTGTTCAGTTACTTCCTTAATATTGTGTATTTATTGTGATAGTATGAGTAAATACGTGTTTTACTGCTTGGATTTGGTTTGATTTCTAGCCTATTAATGACTATTTGATTTACATTGCATAAAGGGAATTTGTTTAGGTGTTAGGGTTCGTTGTGTGAAATGAGTTTTGTATTGATATTGTATATAATTGTTGGATCTCGATTATATGCTTGAACTTAGAGTGTATTTGTTGTTACAAGAGAGGGCTTGTACACTAGCCACATCTTCACACACTTAATGCCGGTTATGAGAGTTATTGGTTGTTAAGGGGATTAATTGCTTTGTGTTCTTGATTTGGCAATTTTGGCTTGAATTACTACAAAAGTGCGGAAGGGGTGAACTCGACTATCCCCCAAGTAAGGTTGCAAAAATCGCTAGGCGTACCTCGGACTTTTTTTTTTTTTTAAATTTAAAAGTTAAAAAAAAATTAAGACTTGGTAATTATAAACTATTTGATATTTTAATAGTTAGTACTAAAATATTAAATAGAGTTAATTACCAAAACGGTCCCTTAACTATTATGAAATTACCAAAATTTGGTCCTCGACTATTTTGTTTACTCAATAAAGTCCTTGACTTTGTAAATGTTAACCAATATGGTCCTCCGTTAGGTTTGGGGTCTAACATTTGTTAAAGTCGAGGGTAATAAAGGAATTTCACCCCTCTCTCCTCCACTCTCCTCCCTGTCGTCACGTTTCTGCTCCGCGAGGCCGGGGTGGATGGCCGACGGCTGCGGCTGCTCACCCACCCCGTGGAGGAACATCTCCGTCCAATGCTCCATTTCCTGCGAACCACTATCGGAATCGAGGACGTTTCCAAATGGGCTACTTTTCTTTGCTACTCCGTCGACTCCAAATTCATACCTAGACTCGATTACTTCCAAAAACTGGGGTTTTCGAAGCAAGAAGCCAGGACGATTTTTCGGCGATTCCCTCCCCAGTTCCGCTACAGCATAGAGGAGAATCTGGAGCTGAAATTCAACTACTTTTTGGTGGAAATGGGGTGGGAGTTGAAATTCCTTTATTACCCTTAATCCCTTATACGTTTGCAGGAAATGGAGCAGAAACGTGACGACGGGGAGGAGAGTGGAGGAGAGAGGGGTGAAATTCATTTACTACCCTCGACTTTAACAGATGTTAGACCCCAAACTTAACGGAGGACCATATTGGTTAACATTTACAAAGTCGAGGACTTTATTGAGTAAAAAAAATAGTTGAGGACCAAATTAGTAAATTTGTAATAGTCAAGGGACCATTTTGGTAATTAACTCTATTAAATATTAACCTAAAAAACATCTTGAATTGTAAATTGTATAAAAATTTAAAGAATCAAAACACAACATAAAGTCACAACTCACAAAGTATTAATATTAGAGTACCTGATTTCAATTTTTTAATTACATTTTTTGGGTTTATGACTGATTTGAACAAATTTAGGGTTATTTCACTAAAAATGGTGTCGGTTTGAATGAAATAACCCATTTAAAAAAACACAGAAAAATAGCTAACTAGCAACCTAAACGCCCGCCTAGGCCGTCACAGCCTAGTCGACGCCTAGGCCGCCTAGGTGGGCGCCTAAGGCACCTAGGCGGTCGACCGCCTAGAAAGACGATTTTGCTGAAATTCTAGGCGGCCGGCCACCGCTTAGCTCCTAGGCGTGATTTTTGAACACGCCCCCAGGCCAAGGAAGACTATCAACATTGGCGGGTGATCGGACTTCGTGAAATATCGTGTCCAACCCACCCGTAAAGTAATCTCAAGGGCTGCTGGTTCAAAACGAAGGGGACACTATCAACCTTGTCCCAAGGCGGGAGCAACAAGAGGTCTTATATCCATCACGAAGCTAGAGGGGGCGCTAGGGACCCATAATGGAACTGGGAAAGAGGTGATATTGGGTCTGAACAACACATGCTGGGTAATACGGGTGTTGAGGTGTGTAATACACTAGTACTAGCGTCTTGCCAACGTGGGAGGAGGGAGCTGCCCTGCTAGATGACATGACTGGCTAGAAGCGATCGTCTGTGGTGTCGACGGGGCGACAGTGGGCTGTATGGGGATGTGGAATTTGTTGAAGTCCACGGCATGGGGTAGCAAGGCCGCCTGGCATTATTCCTAGGGGTGCTAGGTTGCTAGCTTTAGTGGGGACACATAAAAGAGACGATGGTGGCGTGGGAGAGAGGAAGAGAAGACGGGGTATTTATAGTATGAGCTAGAGTTTTGCTAGGGTTTGGATTCTAGAGGAGTTGGGCCCAATTTGGAGTTTTTGCTTGGGTGGGATATTGGAGTCTATATAGAATTCCACAATGGTGTTTAGAGCTAATTATACTTTCTTTGCCCGTCAAAGACAACCAAAGAAAGTAGGGGCTTCATGATGTCGTTATGGGCCTATTGGGCTAGTTAATTGTACCCCAAGATAGATTAAATAATAAAAGTGGTGGACTAGGCATGGATTTGGGCTTGGGGCCTTGGGGTCAAGTTACTTGGGCATGTCGAAAGGGCGGCACCAGTGGAGGAGGGGAGGGGGGGCACGTCAGGCCACGACCGATAGTAGGTGGTATAGGAGAAGGGTGCAAGTGCGCGTGCGTGTGTGTGGGGAGGGGGCGTTGGCGGCATTGGGGCTTTGGCTAAGACACTTAGCGCAATCCTGGATAGATACATGCGTGGACAAGGTTAATCCAACAATGACAACCACTCATTTCACACTAAAGGTGGGGGACATAAACTCTAAAAGAGTGTCCTTGCCCCCCTTCTAACATCATCATCTGCATCGCCTTCAGATCAGTGTTTTCCCCTCCTTAGCTTGTCCGATCGACACACCCATGTTTGAACCTTACTCCAAGAGTGTCGTAAGGGCTTGGATCCAGAGTCAAGACTTAGTCCATTTTGTGGACTTGGACCCTTGTTGGCTTGTATCTATTTATTTATAACTTGATTATAAATATTATTCAGATCTAGCATCCAATTAATATTATTCTTATCTTTTCTTTTGTTCTATTTATATTTTCACTCAATTTATGATGGATATAGTCCCATAAAACCATTATAATAAAATAGATATTTCTGAAAATTTATGAATAGTTAAGGTCTTTTGAAATGATTATTTCCCTACAAAAGGATAGTTCATACTCTGTATAATTTTGGAAATAAAAAACTAAAGAATAAAATAGGTGTATATCTAAAACGTTAAAATGCTAATTCCTTCTTCATTACTCAACTAAATGTGGTATGGTTGACAGATATTTTGATGATGATTGATATAGTTTAATTTTTAATTAGTCCTGAATGGACATTTCTGATTTTTATGAATAATAATAATAATAAAAATAATGAATGTGGTAGGGGTGGCTTGACGATTATGATCCGTTAGTTTGATTAATGGATTGGCCAATGATAATTGAATCATTAGCGTTACGACATTTTCATCTGTTCCTCTTCTGTCATCATCTCAATCATAAACGTCACGGTTATCCACTTAGGATTGCCAACAACGTGGCACTTCAACATCCTTAGTTTCATCATATCATACATACATACAACAAACATGCCCAGATGCTAAACCCCAATTATTGCATTGATGAAAACATACCTGACTAATTTACAACATTATTATATAGATACATATAATGTTTACCTAATCTATATATCTAGCTGATGATGATGACAAAGAACTTGACACATCTACATCATTTCATTTAACTAATGGTCAATATGAGCTGGAGATGGAGATGTATATATATAACATTATAACTTGTGATCCAAGATTTTCTCCCCGGCAGCCATCAGCCATGGCAGCGCAGCTCATCAATGATCATATCTAAGCCGTTACAGATGTCGGCACCGCCACCCCGGCATAACCCACTTCCGCCACCTTGTCGGTTTCCCAGAGCTCCGGCAGCGCTTCCTTCAAGTTATGGATGCTTTCTAATGCATAATCTGCACCTTGAACCCTCTGGGATTTCCCAACCTACATTATAGTTAGGCCAAGTATTAGTTGAAGAATTTGTTGTATCTCAGCACTGCACTATGTTTACTTCGCAATAGGTCACCCATCCTATTAGTCAACTGGAGTTCTTTAGTTATCTGGTTGCCATATATTTAGGTTGACATTAATCATTTAACTACATCTCTCCTCCATGATTAAGTCACAGCGCCACGGTTCGATGACAGGATGCTGAACTCGGCCCTCCAAGCTGTAGTCCCAGCAGAATGGCATAATTAATTGTGTGCCAGCAGGACAGAATTAGGTGAACATCAAACCATTGATGCAATTGTAGTAAATGTAACGTTTTATCCGTTACTATTATTATAACATTAGGATAAGTTATGATAAAAACTTGTAAAAGTTTCTTACCAGAACTGTATCAAGTCCAACGCGTTTCCCAGCGTGTATGTTTCGGACACTATCCTCGAAGAACAGCTGAGAAGAAAAATCAGGAAAATACATAAAAGATCATTACTTCAATTCATTCAACTTATTGTCAATTATACGATAGAAAGAAGGGGCTCAAAGCCTCAAATAACACAAGTTCTGATCCTTACAGTTCTGCGGGGGTCGAGTTTGGCTATTTCTAACGCCTTTTCGATGGCAGCTTCAGATGGTTTGCAGACAACCGGAGTCTTGGGCAACACTGATCCAGCATTAGGTTGAAGGAAATGCCCGACGATGTCAAAGATCTCAGGGGAGTGAACCTTGTCATCGGATATCGTGTTCTTTTGAATGGGATTGAGAGTCTCAAAGCATATAATCCCCTCAAAACAGTCCTCCAGTCCAAGGATACCAAGAACTTTGAGGGCGTGAACCTTGTCAGCATTTGTAAAGATCTGTTGTGCAGCAGAGCATAGACGAGAAACGAGTTAGCAAACCGATCAATTACACACATATCAACATTAGATGTAATCAAGGCATGATATCGGGGGAGGGTCTTACAATTTTCCGATAAGGTAAGCTCAACAAAAGATTTCTGAGAACAGGGTCGGGCTTCAGATTTTCATAAGGCAATCTCCCATGTACAAAACTGCCAAAATTATGGTATGTATCAAAGGTTCAGTCATCCAAAAATACCGTACCATATAAACTGACGAAACAACGAAGAAGTTCAAATCCTTACCTATGATATTCATCATAGTCAAAATTATAGCCAATTGCCTGCCAAACATAACATATTTCAGTAATCCATCAAAACTTCCAACACAAACTAAGGTTCATTTCATTTCTCTTCTATTGAATATGAACAGGAGATAAGATAAACACATACCCTGAGGCCTGCCATTGTAGTCCCATAATTCTTGTACAGAAGATTAGACAAGTCAGGAATTTTGGCAGGCTCTATGCCCAGCTTTTCAACCATGTAATCTGGAGAAACATATTGTAACAAGAATCAGAAAAAAACAACCACACAACAAATGAAATAGTGGATCATATCAAAAGGGGGTAACCCAGCCTTCTTGGTTTGAACCGGTCAGCTATAGACAACCAGTCCTTCGCCAGAAAGAGTCACAAGGCTGGATTTTTCTAGTGCACACTCTCGGGTAGTGACTGCAGGTTTCTCTCGTTATCCAAAATTTTTTTTTTTTTTTTATCAAAAGTATAAAGCTTTTAAAATACCTGCTATGTTCTTGCCACAGGCTGCATTCAGACCAGCACTGAGGGGATAAAGAGTATCATCTAAATCTGCAGATCCATAATGCAAGTCAAAAACTCCACCTAACAATAATGGCAGCCATTTTTATGCCAAAGAAAAGCTTACCAAACAGAAGGCAATCATATTTGGGCCTCTGAACCTGCCCATACCTTTCCTCGTATGTCATCTTGGTCTACAACAACCTGAATAGACAATACAAAAACATAAGCATTATGCACAAGGATAATCTAAATCCACCCAGACCAATATCAAAGTTCAGTTCAGTTCTCAGGCTGTTTCTCCCAAAAGATTAACTAGATCTACAATTCCTCTCAATCAACTTTGAATCATGAATTCATGATAAAGCCATGATGGGTTTTAAATGATTCAAGAAAGGGGGGACCTTTCCTGCTCATAATTCAAGAACCTTTAATCAGTAAAGAATTTAACTTCAAGATCGAAACAAAATTAGCCAAAATTTTCAAATGTACTGATTACTGTTACAGTAGAAAAGCAAAGCCCAAATCTTTAAACCCATAATTATCTCACGATTTTAGCTTTTATGAAGCTCTCTCTGAAATGGCAAAATTTTCCGGACAAAAAAAAAAAAGAATGACAAAATGGTGAGAAACCCAGAGGGCGACATACCCAAAATCCAAAGGAGGGTGATAAGAACAGGAAATTAGGGGAGTTGCAGAAAGAAAGGGAAGGCTATGTATTAGTACAGGTTGGCTCTATTGTGATTTGTGAGCAGAGACTGTAAGGTGGGAAGAGAGGGGGGAAGAAGATGAAGCTTTGGCTTGGTTTAAATAGGCGCAACGCTATACTTGCGTCCTTGTCATGTACACCGTATATTGTGACATTTGGCACACTAATAATTTCTCACAAGCCAAACAAATGGTTTTAGTATTTTGATTACAATTAGGTGGGTCAGCCAAGGGCAACCAATGAATATAATTCACATTATGAAGGAAAATTACGAAAGGGAACTTTAAGAGGGAAAAAATATTTCTTATAGTAACGCTTCATTTGTTTCGTAGAGCGTTTTCTCCCAATTTTCTGAAGCGTTATTTAGTAACGCCTAACTTACTTTCTGAGATATTTTATTCTCAATTTCATCAAAAGTTATTTTAGTATCACTTAACTTGTTTTCAACAATATTTTCTCCATAATTTTTCTCAAAAGTTATTTTAGTAAACCTTAACTCGTGTTGTCATATAGCCTCACAACATAAATTAATTAGAAAAATTATACCTTGTGAAATAATATTATAAATACAAACACCAATTTTTAATCATTAACTTTGAGTATGGAGCAATATTAAATCTCTGTTGTTCCACCCTTAAGGGTGCCTACAATATATAATCACAACTCACAAGGTTCTAAAGTTCACCTCATTTTTCATACCTTTTGAGAGAAAAGATATTGCGTACATTAATTTCTATTATACACTCACATATCTTTTTTTTTTTTTTTTGAAGATCCACTCACATATCTTTACTTTGTAGTGATATTTGATTCTTTATATTAATTATTCACAACAACTTATTTTTCACCAACTAAGTTACCAAGCAATGAAATTAATATTTCAAATAATGTTTTTTTTTTCATGAAATTTAAATTTAATTTCTTATCAATTATTTCTTACAAGCCAAACGAATAGTTTTTTTTTTTTTTTTTTTTTTTTTTTTTTTTTTTTTTTTTGAAAACAATAGTTTTAGTATTTTGATTACAGTTAGGTGGGTCAACCAAGAGCAACCAATGAACATAATTCACATCATGAAGGAAAATTAGCGGGGGAACTTTAAGAGAAAAAAAAAAAACTTTTTCTTTTATAATTAGTAACGCTTCATTTGTTTTGTAGGTATTTTTCTTCCCAATTTCTTCGAGCGTTATTTTAGTAATGTTTAACTCATTTTACTGGAGTACATATTTCTCCCCAATTTCCTCGAACGTTATTTAGTAACGACTACCTTATTTTCTGAGATATTTTATTCTCAATTTCTTCAAAAGTTATTTTAGTATCGCTTAACTCGTTTAATTTTCTAAAATATTTTCTTCATTATTTTTCTCAAAATTTATTTTAGTAATCATTAACTCGTGTTTTCGTATAGCCCCATAACATAAATAAATTAGAAAAAGTATACTTTGTGAAATAGTAAAAACTATTATAAATATAAATGCTTAGGAAAGTCTAACGCGCAACTTTGTAATCTAATTCACCTATACAAAAAAAAAAAAAAAAAGAAGCAATTTTCCAAACTTGCAATTGTACAAGTAATCTGCTTACTATTTATCTCAATTTTATAAATTTAATGTAATTGTCTATTTTATTTATATCAATTGAGATTCCTATTATTTCATATAATAAAATAATTCATATGATATTTGTTTTAAAGATCGATATAGATCACTAGTATAAAATACAAAAATCACATGTTAGAAGGAAAGTAGTTAATCTTGCTAGGAACGCATGAATGATATAAAGTCCAAATTCTCACATAAATAAATCGAAACACTTCTCAAAATAGCATAAAAAACAGCAAAAAGAAATAACTGATGACTCAAAAAGCAAAGCAAGCCATGGAAGCATTAGTTGGAGTAACATTTCCACGAGCCTAAGAAAAGAAATAAGTGTTCAAACTCTTCACTTTCATGATTCAATGGCACATAGGTGCCACCTCTATCAAGTGTATATTTTTAGCTTTAATTTCTCTGTATGAAACAATTTAGGACCTGTAATACTTTCTGACTTTCAAAAATAACCTCTATTATTGTCATATTATTATATTTATAATTTATTTATTATTTTTATTTAATTTCAACTCACTTTCAAAGAATAACAACAACATTAACAGCAATAATACACTTTAAAAAATTAGGCCCAGTCACCTTACCTTTTGCTTGACAAAGTGTATTTGAAAGACGTACTTGTAAATCGTAGAAGACTTTTAAGACAATTAAGTGAATTTTTTTAAATATGAAATGACAATGTCACATACCAATTTCATCTCTTTCAAGGACGAGAGTATTCTAAGAGCATCTACATTTGTAGTTAGTTTTTAGTGAATTTTGCAGCTTTAATGCATATGTGGAAGAGGGAGAGAAGTGATAGGAGAGAGAGGAAAAAAAAAATCTTACTAGAATGCATTAATGCATATGTGCAAATACATATGCATTAAAGCTGCAAATACATGTGCAAATACACTAAAAAATTACTAAACCACCCTCGCATAAATAAATAAGTAATAAAATCATATGAAATCACACTGTTCACAATACCAAGATCAATAACCCTGATTAGTTCTCACGTACTCATGGGAAGATGGGTTCACACACACACACATATGTGAGAATGTGCGAATTACTGCCCACACACACACACACACACACACACATATGTGAGAATGTGCGAATTACTGCATGCATGAATGCACCACAACTACTTCATGCATGTTTGGAGGACGGACAAAAATCTTTGACGAAGCTGAAGTAGTTGCGGTGTATTCATTCAGTTCACACGTTCTCACTTAAAGAAGGATTCTCATATGATCAAGGCCGACCACGAGGTTGGCCATGACTCGGGCTCAACCATCGTAGTCTGCTATGGCATTGGAAACCGAGGCCATGAAGAGGCTCGATCAGTGAGGTTGGCCTCCATAGTCTGCCTTTGGGTGGGTTGCACTATTAGCGAAGAGTTAGTTGGTTAGGCTTACTATTTTAAATAAGCATTCTTTGTCCTCATTTAGGACACATCTTATCTTGTAACCTCATTACACAAGCTCTTAATACAAGTCATTTTCTCCTCTTCAACCTCTCTACTTTGTCTTTATCGTATCTCTATATTCCTTAAAATTATCGGATTTAGTTAATTCGGGCTCCTGGATTAATTACTTCCATCAATATATATGAATAATCAAATGAGAATTGGTGTCTATGAGAAAAATGAGAACTCATTATAACCGTTCATTTAAGAAGATCAATGACTCTAAATTAAGGGGAAAAAGGAAAACATGTGTTGATATTTCATAAATAACTCAATCTTTAAAATGCATCACACACAATTGTAAGGTGTTTCGAGCTAAATTATAGAGTACATTCAATGATAAGTAGATGTGCACTTAATATTTGCAACTCTAAAATTACATCGACTGATATATAAAATGCACTTTATAATATTGCTCAATGGACTTTACAATGTAAATATCTATGTTGGTGATAATGAACCAAAAATCGATTTAATGTCGTAAAATAATATTTATATATACACACACACGAAGTATATAAAATATTATTCGATATATTATATCCGAAATACACACACGCACACACACACACACACACACACACACACACACACACACACACACACACACACACACACACACACACACATATATATATATATATATATATATATATATATATATATATATATATATATATATATATATATATATATATCAGACCACGTACCATGGTTATATGCATGAGTATCTACAGAAAAGATATATGCATATCAACCGATTAGAGAATGTCTTTCGATTCAACTGAAACGGATAACAATTACAGAGTATATCACAACAATTAAAACTCTAACTAACCCTGAGATGTAGAACTAGCCTTGACTAATTAATAACAACCATAGACTATGAAACTATATATTATACAATAATAACAATAAATAATAGCTTCACTAATACACCCCCTCAAGCGCAAGGCGGCAGAGAGGCCACATTAAGCTTGTCTCGTAGTGTAGCAAACCGCGGTGATGGAAGTGGTTTGGTGAAGATGTCAGCCAGTTGATCAGTGGTCGACACGTAATTGACCACGAAGTCCCCTGCAGTTACCTTGTCACGAACGAAGTGGTAGTCAATCTCTACGTGCTTAGTGCGCGCATGAAAAACTGGGTTCGCACAGAGATACGTCGCCCCAAGATTGTCACACCATAGCGTCGCAGGTTGTCCCGAGTGCAGACCAAGTTCTTTAAGTAACGAAACTACCCAGGTAACTTCAGCAGACACATAAGCTAACGCCTTATACTCAGCTTCGGTGGAAGAACGGGCCACAGTGCGCTGTTTCTTGGATAGCCATGAGATGAGATTGGATCCTAGATAAACAGCATACCCACTAGTACTCTTCCTGTCGACGGGACAGCCAGCCCAGTCTGAATCGGAGTAGGCATGAATGACAGTAGAAGCAGACGGATTAAGCCGTAGTCCATAGTCAAGTGTACCCTTGACATAGCGTAGAACTCGCTTTACCAGATTCCAGTGCTCCTCAGTTGGAGAGTGCATGAACTGGCAGAGCCGATTTACTGCATAAGATAAGTCTGGCCGCGTGATTGTCAGATACTGTAGCGCGCCCACAATACGGCGATACTGTGTCGGATTATCGTATGGGACGTCCACTGTAGATAGAGACTTGGAGACAGCAGCTGGAGTTGTAAGCGGCTTACAGTCAACCATACCTGAACGACCAAGTAAATCTATCATGTAGCGCCGTTGAGACAAGAGTAGACTATCGCCTACCACAACTGTCTCGATACCCAAAAAGAACCCCGGGGTCCCTAGATCTCTGATTTTGAAGGTTGTAGACAGTCGCTGGAGTAAGTTAGCCACAAGTTTAGCATCGTTTCCCATCATAATTATATCATCTACATAAACCAACAAGAACACACGTGAATCTCCTGTGCTGTAGTAAAATAAAGAAACATCGGTTTTGGATGCCTGAAAACCGGTGGACAACAAAAAATCGTGCAGACGCTTGAACCAGGCCCTGGGTGCCTGTTT